CTGTACCACACACTGTACCCAGGTGAGGCCACTCCTAGTCTGTTTGGTTTACCCAAAATTCACAAACAGGATGTACAGGTAAGACTTAACGTTAGCATGATTAACTTTATCACTTACAATGTTTCCAAATATCTAGCATCAGTACTTGGTCCATTAGTTGGCATCTCAGATCATCACATACAGAACACTATGGACTTTGTGGACAAGGTGAGGGATGTCATCATGGAGATGGATGAAACTACGGTCTCCTTTGATGTCACATCACTCTTTTCGTGCATTCCTGTTGATAAGACAGTGGATGTGGTCTGTGTAAGATTAAAATCAGACACCACTCTTAGCAGCAGAACCACTCTTTCCACAGAACAACTGTGTCAACTTCTGAAACTGTGCCTGGAATCAACCTATTTCACATATGGGGGGCAATACTATAAGTAGAAACATGGGTGTACTATGGGCTCCCCAGTTTCCCCTATTGTTGCAAACCTGTACATGGAGGAGGTGGAAAAGAGAGCTCTGATGTTCTTTACAGGGACACCACCGAGCCATTGGTTCAGGTATGTTGATGACAACTGGGTTAAAATTAAATCCCAGGAAGTCCAACATTTCACTGATCACATCAACTCTGTGGATAAATATATGAAGTTCACACGAGAGGATGTAAAAGATGGCAGGTTGGTGTTCCTGGACTGTGATGTGTCAGTTTCGGATGGAGGACAGTTAGAAACTGAMGTGTATCGCAAACCCACCCATACAGACCAATATTTGCATTTGGATTCCCATCACCCACTRGAACACAAGTTAGGAGTCATCAGAACTCTGTACCACAGAGCAGACAGTGTCCCCACAAACACAGGAGCCAGGGAGAAAGAGAAGTCACACACAAGACAGGACCTGGAACAGTGCTGTTATCCTGATTGGGCTTTTCTRAAAGCAGACAAGAAACCCAAACAGGATTCCAGCCAACAACCAGCTGAAAATGAAGACTCTAATCCCAGACCCAAAACCAGTCGTCATTCCGTTTGTGTTAAAAAACGAGAAACTGAGACGTTTATTCTCCAAACATGACTTCCCAGTGGCTTTCAAACCGCAAAACACGTCACGACAAAGATTAGTTCACCCCAAA